CAACATTTTATTAATTTATTTAATTTTATTAGCTTTATGTTCCTATGATTTGAAGTTTTGTCTTGGAGACGACAGAAAAAAGAGCAGAGTCACTCTAATATACAAAATTTTGCTCATATTTTTTAGAAATGTGCTTAAAAGGGATAGAAATTCAATTAAGACCAAAAAAAAAACTGAAAAAATAAGGCAAACAAAATATTTATTAACTTTCCATTTTAATTATGTGTTTTCCAAAATATAATTTTTGTTTTTTATTAAGTAGGTACTTATTTATTTTTGTGCAAATTAGATTTCACAAAAAGAAGCAATAAAAGGAAAACAATAAAATTATAAACTTCTAAATTAAATCAATTGTGACATAAAGTTTTTTTTATTTTTTTGATAAACCTACATGACAACCCTGGTTCAAAATTTTTTGCAATAAACAAGAAAACATAAAAGAATATAAAAGTAAAAACAAAAACGAAAAAATAAAGAATGCTGGTTGTAAAATTGGAATAGGTGTCTCATACAATTTTATTATAAAAATGAAATATTAGCAGCTTCAAGTTGTTAAAATTTGAGTTGAAGCCAATAGTTAAAATTTTGGACAAATTTCTTTTAATAAACTTATGAAGTAATACAATTTTCCTACCTGTTAACAATTAGCTAGGAAACATCTAGAATCAAAAGTATGTAATTACAAACATTTTTTTTAAATTTATTTGACTGAACTCTTGGATTCGGGTTATTTGAAACTCTGAAAAAATTTTCTCGTATGAAAAAAAAGTTACGGTTAAAAGAGAATAAAGACGGGATCCGATATTTGTCTGTACAGAAGATTGAACCAATTTTTAGGATATGGAATTAATACCTGAATCCTAAAAATGTTTCTGGGATTACTTTTGTACGAATCGGTTTGGAGCTATTTGCAATTCTATAATAATTCACACAATATTAATATTTAACGAAATCTATTTATCGAGTACCATTTACAATTCATGTTTACCTTTAAAAAACTTATTCCTTCACTTAATTTTCATGCTAAGTGGACTTAAGACATTTTGTATGTACAAAATTATATACAGACACTTTTGTATATTCTTCTGTAATCAAATAAAACTCAATAAATTAGTAGTAAATCAATTACAATATTTTTTTCTTATATTGTGTTAATACAATTCATGTATCTTAAGTTAAAATCAATGACAAAAGGATGTTATAATAAATATGTAATGTATGTGTATGTGTATAAAACAAAAGAACAACAAATAAAACTAATAACAATAATAAGTTGAAAAGAAAGGAATTCGAAACATGACGACTAAAAAAAAGGTTTTTTTTTTGGTTGTTTTTTTATTTTCCTATATTAATTCTTTTATCTTTAATCCTATTAAGGACACACCAAAAAAAAAACAAATTTGTTTCTTATTTTTTGGGGGTATGAAGCGGTATGTTCCTTTTGTTCATGATCCTTAAGATTAAAAAGTTTCTATATATTATTATTATATTATTATTATTTTGTCCTTCATTATAATACGAAAGTCACAAACACACACTTAAGCAAACAATTTCATTCCCATATAGTTGTCCTTTTGTTTAAAAACAAAAAAAAATCTGAATTAAAATTTTCTTTTACTTTAAAACCCAGAACCTTACACACTTCTCGATTTCTTTTTCTATATGCGTATTGACTTAATTAAATTTTAAAATTTCCTTTATATTTTAAAAGATCTTCAGAAATAATGGAAATAAATTTTTTGTTTTTCATGCTCTTGAGGGTTTAGAAAAATTAAAATTAGAGAACAAAATGGAAATGATAGCAATAACTATTTTGTTGATAAAATTAACAGTCATCATTTTTTTGACCTGTTTACTTTTTTTTAGCGATAATGTATATCGCTATCATTTCGTTAAAATAATAACGATCGAATATTGTGGCAGTAATAATTGTTTTGATGCTGATAAAACTGATCCCAAAACTATTAAATTTTTATACCTAAACTGATGTAATAATAAACATGATTTTGAGGTAAAATAAGAGTAATTTAAGGAAGTTTACAATTAGAAAGTGTAAAAAGAAATTGGAAATACTAAAATTCAAAGATTTAAAAAAAAAACTAATTTACATATTATCAGCCGTAAAATTTAATTGGGTATATATAAAGGTAAATAGGAATTGACCAGACGGAAAATTTGAACATTTTCAAAAATAAAATTTAATTGTAAATAATATTGTAAGATTATGATTGAATGATAAAATTTTCTATTTGTATTTGTAGCCCAATTTAAAGTAATGGTGGATATATATGCTCCTTGAACGATTAAGAAAAAAAACAAAACCAAGGGAAATTGATGTTAAAGGCTGTCCGCGGATCTCGCATTTTATAATATAATAACTCGTTCTAAATAGTTGAAACAACAATTATTGATTAATTTTCTAACTATGGGCGTTATCTCTTTACGTTCAACTTAAAGAAGAGAAAAAAACTGAAAAGCAAAATATAAAGTACCTAAAGAACAGAACAGAAGATATATATCTGTCAAATTAGTCTGGATAAGAACAAAATCACGAATAATCTAATTTGCAAATGCGATGTGAGGTATTTGATCGCCTCAGGCTGACGTGTTTTTGTGAGGGATTTAACTTGTACCATTCTGAAGGTCGTATAACTAAGTGTAGATGGAAAATTGTAATTTTTACAGAGACCACTACGCTCGTGTATCACTCTTGTGCTTAAAATGTATAAAAATGAGACAACACTCACGAACGAATTCCCTATTTTACAAATAATAATTTTCGAATAGAAAAGAATAAGATACAACGAAACGAAAAAAATAAATAGGAAAACTTTAATGAAAAATAAAGTATCCTTGAATTCTATTTTCTCTACATTCTTTCCCTAAGTTAAATTATTGTGAGAATTTTTTTTTCTTTGGATCCGTTCCGAAATACAGATTGAGGCCCTTTCAGTCATCTTAGGTATTATTTCCATTTTTTTTAAATTGCAAATTAGTTTTTTATATGTTTTCCCAAAGAAAACTGAAAAAAAAAGAAATTAATTTTGATTTAATGTTTTTTTTTTATATTGCAAGGAAATCAAAACTTTGTTGTCTAAAATAAAAAACTGGTTGCCAAAACGAAATTTTTCAGAAATTCTTAGTTGCATAATTTATGAGTTTTAGCGTTTCAAAATCTAGATTAAAATTTTATATTCTAATCCATTTCTTTGATGTTAAATAAAATACATTTAGGTATAAAAGAAATTATAAAAAAATCTATTATCGAATATAAGCAAAAAATCTATTTTATTTTTAATAAAAAAATTTTTAATTTACAAAAAATATTATACTTAACGTACTTTAAATATTATGAATTTATCCATTCAACTTAGTCTGACAAAATTTCTACTCCACCATCTCACCCTATCAAAAAAAGTCAAAATAAGCAACTGTCATTAAAAATAACAAATTCCACATTTAAATTGATTTTCTAGCTCATTTCTTTACATCAAAATTATTCAACAAAAAATAACAAAAAATTGGCACCCATTAAACTTTAAATACTGATTTTGTAAGCCCATGATTTTTTGTAATTAATTTTAAAGTGAGTGTATTTTATTGCTTAGCTTAATCCAAAGCAAAAAATTTAAATATATTTTATATTTTATGTACATTGTATATAAAAAATAAAAAATATACGAAAAGATAAAATATGCGATGTACACACTAAACACCATAGTGAATTAATTTAAATATTTTTGATGACCTAATTTATACATTTTTTATTCGTCGTCTCTTATCACGGCCTCAGAACCTTTATCTAAAGCATATTTATTCACGTTACTTAATTTTCACTTTTTGCTTTTTTTTTTTGTTTGTTCCTTGCTATTAAAAAAGAAAAGAGGCAGAAAATATCAACAAAATTTGAAAGTTTTCTTTTAAGACTATCACAAGAAAATGCTGAAAGATAACAAAAAAAAAAAAAAAATCAAGAGGACATACGACATAAAAGCAAATTTTATTTTCTCTTTATTTTCCTTTTTTTTTTGTTTTTTTTTTTTTTTTTTGGCAGGATAATTAAGGAAAATTGACGGAATGTTGAACTTAAACAATAATATAAAAAAAATATTGTTTTTTTTTTTTCTGTTTGTCTGTTTGTTTGTTTAACGCTCTCATTTAATAACCATAGCTCTAAAAGAGATATATAACACCTTAAAGGACATTTTTAAACAGCAGGAGGACCAACAACAACATAATACTAAAAAAAGGTAGAAAATAATAAGAAAAAACCTGAAAATATTACCTTTCATTTAAGTGAAAGGTAATTTGACAATGAAATTAAGTTGTCAGAGTTTTTGAGTGAAGAGAGAATTAAAAAATTTTATTTTATTATGTTTTTTTTTTTTTTTGTATTATATTTTTTTTTATTACGGTCTACGAATTAAAAACTTGGAACAGAACATAACATTGCCCGTCTCATCATCTGTCATTTCATACAACCTTCCCGAAACCTCCTCTGTCCCATATTTTTGCGCCTAAGCAAGGATAAAAAATATTGAATTGAATAACTGGAGTATGCTAAGAATTAAAAAGGATAAAAAAAAATGTGATAATGGATTTTTGTTTTTGTTGTTTTTCCTTTTCTTTTTTCAGTTTTAAATTTGTCTTGGTTTATGATTTATGGTAATCAATAAAATTATGATAGAAAGGGGTTTGATATCTTTGGGACTAAGGAGAAAAAAATCTTAAATTGTCATTTTCTGTTCTCATAACTCTTCTTCATGCCTTCGGTGCCTATTTAATAATTTAAGAGCGTTGTAATTTTGAGTAATAAAGTTTTTTTTATTTGATTGTAAAAATTTTTTTTTAATATTTTCTCTTTTACAAAGTTTTTTTTTATGTGTGCTTGTTCCTTAGCAAAAAAAATTTTTTATTTATAAATTTACCTTAATTTTATGAAGTTGAAATTGTTTTTTTTTACCTTTATATTTACCATAGTATTTTTTTCTTTTTTTTAGCAATCATTTATGGATCAGAGAATAAAGTGAAAATGAATTTTTTCCCTATTTCATAATTTGGAAGTTAATTAAATTGTAAAATTGCAAGAATATACGGAGAAGGATGCAACTGGGAAAGAGGTAAAAAATATAAATAAGTGTGAGCTAGAGATATTGGTGATGTGATTGTCATCTTCAGGGAAATTAGAATTTTATTTTACATTTAACCTGGATTTGAACATCTTGTTCAGGAGAGGAAACGTCTTTTAGTTAAATTATTTTCAGATCTCTTAATAAATAAACATATTATTGTAAAAAAAAATCAAATTCCTTATAAAGCCGGTTTTGAAAATGGTAATTATAAGTTATGATTTCCAAATTGTTTATAATTTGAAAATTATTGAATAGTAAAAGCATTGTTTACTCTCTCTGTTAAAGCTCTGCTGTACCTATGATCCATATTGTAGAATAAAAAATTTATAAAATGTCGTAAGATCCATATTGCTAAAAATGAGTTTTAACTACATAGTAAAAAAAGCAGACAGCATAGTGGAAAAGTCGAGACTACACTGCTAATGTTACGATATTTATACTGTAGTTGAAGTGTACCAAGTAATGTTTTCACCGCATGTTACGATCTATATCTGAGTTAAAATAAAATTTAAAACATTCTGAGAGAAATATCTTGATTCAACGAACCACTTTTACGTTAAACTTACTAATAATTCAAAGCAATCATACTGTTTACTTTTTACTTACTTTTTCTTGTTATTTTTATATGAGACTGATAAAATTTTTCAAACTTTAACAATAAAATATTTTAAAAAATTCCTAAAATATTCAAAATATAAACGTTTGTGCATTTATTCATTATTCTATTGAAATTTAATACAAGAAATTAGATGCTTTTTTTTATTAGTTTTTTTTAATAATTAATTTTTAACAAATAATAAACTTTCTCTTCAGATATCCTTTAAAAGTCTCGATTAATTTAAAAAATTTTTTTAATGGATCTACCATCTTCAAAATTTTATTTATTTTTCTCATTTTGTTTTTCTTCTACTATGTAAAATCATTTACTTTTGCCCTAATAAGGATCCACAATGACAAAAAAAGAAAGGAAAATAATTTATTGTCTCATGATAAAATTTATACAAGTAAAATTTATACAGAAATATAGAATAAACCTCAAACTTTAATTAAAAACTATTTATTAATATTAAAATAATTTTATATTGGAATGCAACTCGTTCGTTCAGTAACCTTTGTTATGAGGAAAATTATTTTCTTATCTTGATGTTGAATTGATTAAACAAGGATGTACTTTTGTGTTTTTTTTTTTTTTGTAATAGAAATAATAAGAAAATGAGATAAGGAGAAGTTAAAAAGAACTTATTATTAAGAGTCGGATACAATTATAAATTTTTTTTATGTAATGTTGTAGAAGATAAATTTCGGGTAATTTGTTCAGCGTAATTTTAATTGTCGATAATGTTATATAAATGAAAATGCAATTAATTCTTTTCTTTTTTCACTAATTTAGGCTTTAATTCTTTGTTTCTTAGGGTCCTGAAATCGTATAGGACTTATAGGAATACATATACATATAATATTTCTTAAGCAAGTGTTATCCTAATTAGCAATTGAATTAAACCATTTGCAGATGAACGGGTATTGTGCTTCTAAAAATTTTTCTTTTCACTTGTTCAATAGACTTTTATGGTTCCTTGATATTTATTATAATACAATTTTAAATAAATAAGTATTACAACAATACAATTTTGAAAATTGAATAATTGTTGTAAAGAAGTAAATTAATTTGGTACTGTAAGTTAGAAAAAGCTCAGACAATTTTTATTTTAATGAAACTTTTCCGATCCGAAAAAGTTGATTTTCGCAAAGATTTCAGAATATTTAAATGAACTGACTGGTATCCGAAACTTAAAAGTACACAATTCACAAATAAAAAAATATTTTTAAAGTCTTTATAAAATATTGAAAAATTAGGAATTCAATTTATTTTCTAAAGTATATTTAAAGTATTTAGTCCTTTTTGTTCTCCACTCTGACACAATTTTGAACATTTTAACTAATGAATGAATAAGAAAGTTAAGGAAATGCAATAGGAATACTTAAGTAAAATATTTCTTTTTTTTTTTTATAGAATTTTTTATGTTTTCATGCAGATCTTATCGTTCAACTATATAAATATTATTTATTCCATTATAAATTTTACTCATATTGGTATATAGGTAGTTGTTATGCATAGTTATTGTTATTATTGAATTTTCTTAATATTGTGCAGTGACGATTTCTTAGAATATTCGAAAATACCTTAAAGATCTGTACATTACCAGCTTGAGGAATAACTAATATTCTTCATGTTTGCTTGATACGGCTTTTGTTTGTTTGGAAAGTGCAACGTACTTAAAACCTTGTAGTTATACAACATTAAATTCTCATTCTCAGTATCATTTTGATTAAATAAATGTATTTTAAGGAAACTTTTGAAATTATTCCTTACGTTCTATTCACAGTTGACACGCTTCGCGGTTCGTCCCTGATATTTTTTATTTTTTCTTCTGTTTAATCTTTCCATTCATTTTTCATTCTCTGTCTCTCTATTTAAATTTTCACTTCCATTTTGATTTTCGTTTTTTTTCTTTTTTTTTTTTTAATTTTGGCTCTTGGTTATTTAAAAACAATTTCAAAAGTTCTTCTCTTCTCAATTATTTTGGTTTTAAATATAAAAATCCTTTCCTGAAATTGCTTTTTTTTTCTTCTCTTTGTTTTTTCCAATAAATGTAATTTTTCGAATATTACTTTTCATGTTAGTAATAGTATGGATATACATACATTCGGTATAGTTACACTTAGTGTACCTATCCACTTATTTCTTGGCATTTCCTAAAAACTTAAAATTGTTAAAAAAAAATGGAAAAGAAAAATGTTGAAAATTCTACAAAGAAAATTGAATTATTCTGGTTCATTAAATTCTTGTATTGATAAAAAAAAATTATAGGTGTAAATACATAGGTACATATATATATATATATTAAAATAAGTAGTTTACTCTATACATTCGTGAAGTATTTTCGAAAAAAAAAAAAATGGTTTAAAAATATCACAAGTTCAATTGTATGCAAATGAGTGATTTTCCTTTGCTGTTCATTGTTCTGGGTAATAACAAAATAATGTAATTATTGTTGTAACTATAATTATTGTAGTTACATTGAATTATTCTGAGAAATCCAAGTGACATGGTGTGGTGAGGTATAATGTTAATTATATGTTAGAATATTAATTATTTTAAGTTTTTATGTGAACATAAAGGGGAATCAATATTCTAGTGGTCATGCCAAATATTATATTTAAAAACATTAATCAACTCAAAATATGTTATGGTAGCCCTGAAACATAAATTTATTGAAATGTAGATATTTACATTCATATTAAATTCATAAGTTATTGATTCATTTTTTATATTAATACACGCTCATTCGAAGTAAACATTGTTCTTGAATCGCTCATTAGGAGTACGGATTGGTCTTGACACGTTCATTATTGGTACACATTGTTCTTGACACGGTCATTAGAAGTGTACATTGTTTTGAAGAATTTTTCCTTCGTCGGACATTTTATTATAAAAAGCTTGTTTGATTGAGAATCTGTTAAACTCAGTCCCAAAATAACTACAATATGGGTTTGATTTGCAAGAAAATAAAAAGAGGCAAAGACGTTTGCATGTACTATTATTGTATAATTATTATGAACTAGAAAAAATTGTGCACGAAAATAGGGGTCCCATTACTTCCAATGAATATAGAACTATAGGGATATGGGATGAACATTTCGCATTATATTTCTTACAAAACTGTTATTACTACTAGTAACTTGCATCCTGTACCAAGTTCAACAGTATACCTGTGTATGTTTGTAAAAAAATCCTTTAAAATTAATGCTCATTCTCTTTTAAGTTTGTTGTTTTTAGTTTTCATTTTTTTTTTTTTTGTATTTTTTTGGGTCGAGGTCAAATCTCTCAAAGTCGAAACTGAATTGAAAAATAAAATGAGAAATAAAAAGTAAAAAAAAAACAATATCCAATTTTTTTGTTCATGTTTTGTTTTAACTTTTCAAAAACTCTCATTTTACCTCTTATGTTTCTGATAGAAAATATCCTAGTAATAATTTTGTAAGGTAATTGTAATTGTAATTAAATCATTTGTGTATACAGAGTAGTATAAGATTTTGAGGTATTTTTTCTCTAGAGTAGATTTCATTAAATTAAATTTTATGGAATGTTGGTTCGTTTCTTCCGAAGACTGCAACATAAATCAAATAGAAGAGCAAATTTTATTCTTAGATATTAAGAAGGAAATAATGTAAATGATTGAATGAGAAAAACTAGTAGGTCTCGTTAACATTCATCTCTCTTTTATCTAAATTGTTGTGTACTTGAACTTATTCGTAGTATAGAATTGAATAATTTAGAATTTTCAAGGTTTTTAATGGAAATTTTTATGGAAATGATATTAGAGAAATTTTTACCTGAATTAAAAATTTTGTCTCATGTAAGGGAAATCTTTTATTGCAATGCGCCGTTGGGTATGCAAAATGTTCAATAAAATTTTGTTATAACTAGAATTGTACCAGAATTGATTATCCTTTTTGAAATACAAATTTTCTGATTGATGATCAACATAATTATTGATGGCAATAATTATTTTACCGAAACATTTTGCTTGAAGCTATTAGAACAATTATTCATATTGCAAATTAAAAATCCTACTTATCACTTATCACATCTGTAAATCTGTTGAACACATTTTGTATTTTAGTAATTTGAAAATTAAGTTTACATGTTTTCTTAATTCTATTTTATACAGAACGGAGTGGCAAAAAAAAAAAACAAAATCTACCCGTTTATTTTTAATGTTAAAATTTTATTTTCACTATACAATAAAGAATACTCGAATGAGTTGCCTTTCTCTTTAAATATCTGTTATATACTTAGGAAATATAGATTTCCTGGAGAAAAGTTTCATCAAATTAAAATTTTTTATTTGCCTTCAATAACATTTACATGAGATGAATTGGATGAGGTTAAGGGTTACGTATGTTATATTCAAATTGAAAACTTCTTTTAATCCCTTTAAATTTTATATGCATGTACAAAACAATTACAACAGATGTGTCTATATTTATATTCCATTGATTTGAAAGGATAAAGCTGAAAGAGTACACTTCACTCAATTTTCACTTTTGTAATTTTTATTCTTGTATTTTATTTTATATATTATGCTTAAAGTGATTTTGATTAAGGATAAAAGGAAGGAAACAAAAATAGAACATCATGAGAAATCAATTTTTTTTATTTTTTATTTTGATTTCTTTAAACATCTGATGATGACGAGATTTATTTGTTTTGGAAACATAAAATAAAATTTTGTTTTAGGTGACACATTGAAGATTTGAAGGCGTAAATCAATTGAATTTTTTTTTCTTGAGTTAGTATTCACTGTCGCATTGAGTATCCTACGCAATTTGTTAATTTGAAAATTAATAAATTAAAATTGTTTAAGGTCAAAAATAATAATATAACAGGCAATAAAACTTTTAGTTGTTTAGAAAATCTTTTTAATAGTATATTGTTGATTTTATGCTATTTATTCTATAAACAATTATTTCTACAATTTTGTCACAATATAGAATTCATCAAATCCTATGACAGCGACTCAATTCAATTTGACTAACAGTTTATAGTTACCACTGAAATAGACGGACAGACTGATAGACATTCTTTTTTAACCATTCTTTCGTATGGGTTAGAAAAACTTTAACAAACTAAAAAACGCAAATAATATTTTATATAAGAATTTGTTCACATTGTAAACTCTTTATGTATACATTAAAAAAAAAATATTTCCACTAAATATTTATTAACCGATGATTCAAATGGGGAAAAAATTATTTTGCTTTTTATAAAACATTTAAGTTAAAGTGCTTAAAAATTACTTTAAAGTAGGTAGAATGCTACATTGGTTGCTCTTACATTATTATTATGCTTTAAATTTAAACTGAGCGCTGCTCAATGTTACATTAAAATTTTTGGTTGGATTTTATGCATGTATAGAAATTGGAGCCCGAGTTATACTACTAAGAAGTCAATCTGTAATTCTCCACAAAAAAACACAATAGAAACAACTACCTCTCATCATCATAAATCCCGTCCTTTTACACTTCCAAACCAAAACTCACCCATAAATTTCCTCCTTTTATACAAAAGGTAGAGGCAAACCCTTAATATTTAAACTAGAAATGTTGGCTCGATTCCATGACTATATCGCCATAGTATATCAATCGCCAAAATATAATCCTTAATACTAAAATCCTACAGAATTTTTCAAAGCTATTATTATTGTTAAAACGTAAAAAATGAGAAAAAAAAGATTTCATGACCTTGTTAAGAAAATGTGTTGTAGCATCGCACTTCAAATAAAAATAGGATTTTTATTTTATTTTTTAAAAAAAAAAATTTGTTTTTTTCCATTTTGAAATTTGATTTTTTGATATCTGAAGGATAATAGAGTAAAAATAGCAGCCATATTAAAAATTAAATTTTTTTACATTATTTAGTTTGTAAAAGAAAATTGTAAAATGATCATTTATTTTTCATAGAATTTAATTTTATTATTTTCTTTTTTGAATTGGAATTAGTATCCATAGCATACATATATTAATAATTTCCAATTCCAAAATATTGTTCTCTAGAAGCAGATACATATTTTGTTCAAAAGAATGATATTATTATGTATGTAAATCTTTTCTAATAACAATACTTTCGTCTAATAATAATGAATTTAATTAATAATTGAATTTGGTAGCGACAAAATTGACCCCACTGATTGTATTTTCAAAGAGTACATAATGTTGAAAAAATTCATTTGTTTATAGATGAATTCAGGAAATATGGTTAAAAGCTCAAATATGAAGAATAATTTCCATGAAAATATGTTGCAATTGGTTTTATTTTTATTACTGATGATTTGGTTTTATTTTATTATTGGTGAAAATACTTGTTTAACCTGGAATTGATTTACATATATTATAATATCTATCCGCATTCCTTAATATACAATAGTAATATCCGAATTTCTGGTCTTCTCTATAATTTTATATGAAACTCAAAAGTTAGGTTTTAAAATTTAATTTTACTATTTTATTAAAAATAAATTTTTAAAGTTTCAATAATAATTTCTTTTCCTTTTTAAGAACTATTTTTCAAGAATTTCCTTTTATTTAATTTTAACTAAAAAACAAATTCAAATTGTATTTTTTGCTCAATGTTTTTTTTTTATTGTTTACCACATCATAAAAAAGTCCAAAAATTTCATTAATTATACATTATATCCTTTTTATTTGTGTCTTCAACTCTGACTCTCTTAGTCCTTTTTCCCAAATAAAATCTAATAACCTAAAAAATGGAAAAAAACAAACCAAAATCAAGAAAATCACAATATAGAAACGACAAAATCCCAAATTACCATAACTATATAGTTAGTTCCTCTTTTTTCTCTTACAACCTCATCATCCTTTTAAATTATGAATTTGATGTGGAATTATTTTTTTTTTTTTGAAATTCTTATTCTTCTTTTACCATTATTACTTTTGAAAACATGAAAAACTTATTTAAAATTAAATGAATTAATCAAGAACATTCAAAAAATACAAACAAAAGAAGGTAAACTGAAGTGAATTAGTTAGTAATAAATCTAATGAAATTCAAAAAGCAATTTAATTTTTTAGTAAATCCAAATATTATTTTTATTATAATATGTATCTAAAATAAAATTTTATATTTTAGGTGGTTACATCGATTTTGATAAATTTGTTTTCATTACGACACATAAATGCTTTTAAAACAATAAAGGACAATTTCAAGTTTCGATCAATGGTTAATGTAAGGCAGAAATCAAGAAAAAGATCAAAAATTTAAAAGATTAAGAATTGAAGATCAAAAAATCAAAAATTTAATCAAGAATTGCGGCCGTTATTCAGTTGTAAGTTATTCATGAAAAATCTGGTTATATTTAAGTCGTTCTTTTCTTCATTACGATCAAAATTACGTCTAAATCACAAAAATAATTTATAAAAAAAGTGATTACAGTGAAAATTATTTATTTTTGTGCTACATAATATGGCTTAGAAGCCCCTTTTTTTCCATAAATATTCTATAGTTCTATATAATTTCCTCTATTTTAAGAAACATATTTTATGACCTTTAATATTTTTATACTCCATTGTTAGATAGTCAGACAATGTTTCTAAATAAGAATCAAAATTAGTTTCTAACACTATATTTTTAAGCATACTCTCGCTATCTAGAAAAAGATTAAAAAATACATAGGAAAAAAATAAAATTTTATAAAAAATTTCGTAATTAAAGGGAAGTGAAACGGAAAACCTAAATCAAAATGGTCTTCATTTCTATTTTATTTTCTCATTTTCATTTCACCTTTTTTAAATTTATTAAAATAATTTTTAGAAAACTATTTTAAAATACTGGAATAATAATCCTATATAATCTTGTCGCTGACGTTTTAATTACTGTTACAAAAAGAATAACCTTTAAATAAAATTTGTATGTTTGCACAGAGAAAGAACTAGTACGGTTTTGAAAAAAGGAAGGAAGAAAAACATATTGTGACAAATAAAAATTAAAAGGATGATCGCAAGGTTTTTCATATTATTATTTTTTTGCTTTATTTCTCTATAGAACAATTATAAAAAGTTATTCAATAGTACTTTTTATGTGTTCGGACATTTGTATTTAGATAAAGGTTCACTTAGCGCTCAATCAAAAATTCTATCTTATGCTAACTCTTAGGTATTTTAATAGTCAAAATTAAAAGAAATTTGTCAATCATGAAAACCCGTCAAGGACAATTTCATATTGGAGCAATATTTTTACCGTATTTTTATGTGGATCCTATCATAAATCTTGTCGTTACTTATATCAAATAGTTGATTAATAATATTTTTTTGCAGTTTCCGTACAGAAAGATAATTAAATCCGGTCATATGTGAACCAAACTGAGAATCAATGTGGAAAGTATGCATGAGTTTGCAAAGTATGCGATTTTAAAGTTGAGCAGAAAGGCAATTTCAAATCCAATCATATATGACCCAAATTGAGAATCCATGTATGTGGAAAGTATACGCAAAAAGCTATTTGTTTTCTTTCCGCACAATATTTTGTCTCACGCAATAGAGTTTTCCCATCCATAATTGTAATTGCTGCTATTGTCTCTTATTGAAAAACCCTTTTTGTCTTTGTATTCTCATGAAAATAACATAAAAAATAATTCAAATTGGCCAATAATTTATAACAAAAATAAAATCATTTATATCTTTCTCTTACCACATAGAAACTTAAAACTGAAAAACCAAATACCCAGGTACATACATATATGAAGAGTAAATCCAAATTCGAAAACGGTAAACTGGTATATGAGTAACTTAGAAAATTTTAATTCTAACACTACCATAGAAGTTTTAAAGGATTATTATGTTTTTATGCGGGTATATTTGAGCCTTTTTTTTTTGTATAAAGTAAGAAACAAGAACAAAAATAATAAAAAAACAAACAAACGAAATGATACAGGAATAGAATAATTAAATGGTTATTCTTTTTCAACATTTTGTAATGTAGAAAGCAGCAGGTACGTGAATAAAAGTTAACAAAATTTTCATTTTTGAAAATTCTATTGAAAATATAACTTTTATTAGAAAATTTTTTTGCAATGCTATCCACAGAAATATTGTATTTGTAGACCAGTTTATTTCCTTTATATCCTGGCTAACCAATAAAATAGTTAAAACAAAGAAAAAGGACTTCATTTGAATTCTGTTTTTATTTTGTCTACTAAAAAGATTTTAATGTGAGCATATTGTGTATGAGCAAGTATTGTGTATGTAGATAAAATTTTTTTGAATGAGTTCAAAGGATTATTGTATTTATATTCACAAAAATATTAGTAATATTTAATAGGGAATTAGTTGTTTGTTGTCTCTTTTATAAATAACTGCATTTTTTTGTTTAAAAAATCAAATTTATAATTGGAAATTTAAGAAAATTTATTGTTTCTATATGTTATTTTATATTATTATGTTATTGAACACTTACATACTTAATTGCCACAAAACATAAGAATAATTTAAGAATACACTGTTTATTCTAGTAATCGTGCCTACAAAAATGTCTATTTTACATTCACAATTTTGTTTTATTACTTAACTATAAATATATCAATTTTTAAGAAAATATCAGAAGCCTAGAGTATAATATCTTCAAATAAAATTTTAATAGTTCTCAATATTGAAAGCCCTAACATTGGCCACTATCTTGCTAACTATTGACAACATTGTACAAATTACTAAGCAAAAAAGCAATTTCATGGATTTTCAGAAATATTTGTAAGAAATTATAAAATTTATATAAACAGTAAAAATGATAGTGCCTATTAAAAGGGAAATATTTATGAGTTCACACAGTTTGTATAAGTACAAGAAAAAAGAAATGTAAGATAATTTAAAAATATAAATTTTAATTCCGAAAGAATTTACCAATTTCTTTTTATAAATACATAAGCTAAAAAAAAAGATTTTTTAGTAAAAATATTTTCCCTATTGTACCTTTTCCCTGAAATTTTATTTTTTCCGTACAATATGTATACAACAATTTCTTCTCATTTTCAAGGAATTTTGTATTGAACTTTTAAAAACAGTACAATCCTTTTATACAAATATATAAAAAATATCGAAAAATAATGAATTGTTGTAAATATATTTCTAATTATGTAAAAAATATAGAAAATTTATAGAGATGACATTTAAATGATGTTAAAATTGCAACCTTGTCATTGTACCTTAGTTAAAGAGAAAAGTTAAAAATAATTTAAGAGCAAGAGACAATGAATTTGTTTTGAATAGTTTTGCTGCCTCAAAGTTTCTTAAAAACGATGTTCGTTTTCCTTTGTTACTGCTCAACAGAGCCTAATTTTGTCATTCGGTAGCGTTTCGTTTAATAGTTCATTGTCGTGTAATAGCCAAAATTGCAAAGACCGTAATTGGAATTCAAAATTTTTCCCTTAAAAATTGAAAAGTAGATTAATAGCCATGATTCGATTGTAATCATGTCAGAATAAAAAAATAAATTTAACAAAAACTGAGCAACGAAATACAGAAAAAAAAAATCTTTTTCGAAATTTTCCTTTTTACCCCTTGTATGTTAAATACTAATTAATTCCCAAAATAGAAGAAAATAATTTATAAAAGCAGTTGTGGTTGTAGACACAATCCTACTTATTTCTACTTATTTACTATTATATAATATTATATACCATTATATAATAATGTATATAATATTATTTATAATTATGTGTTGTATATTTAAGTACGTATATGTACACGTATATATAATGATTATTTTGAACAATAAACTTGCAGCAAGAAAGTATTTTAAGTTAATTGAATTTTAATTTCATTATCTTCTTGTATCTTCTCTAGGATATTTTTATATATAAAATGTACAAGTATAATATTATAATAGTGAATCAGATGGGAAGATTATATAATCGCGAGAGAATCCTTTTTTTTTTTTGTGTGAAAGGATTATATGGGTTTGTGTTTTTTTATGTATGTACATTATATTATATATAGAAAAAAAACAAGCAAAAATAACAATCTTACTATTTATTATATTTGCTTCATTTTGTATATTATCATTTTTATTATTATTGCTTAACTTAAAGTTTATCTTTAACAAGAGATTAAATTAAATGAAAATTATTTTAATTTAATTAAAATTTATTCAATAACTTTAATAGTTTTTTAAACAAAATATTTATAATAATAATATTTCTTATTTAGCAAATCGTAAGAATTGAAATTTTAAGGATTTCGAAATTTTTCATATTTAAGAAGAAATATAGTGAGTGAAAATTAAAAAGATTGCGATTATTTATGAGAAAAATTTACTTTTTTTTTTATTATTATTGTTTTAATTTAGAATAGGTCCGCATAATCTTCTTTTTTTTTTTCATTGAAACAAGTACCTTTATTCAATATTAATAATCAAAACCATTAAAACTATAAGTTTACCAATTTTTCCTAATTTGAATTTTGTTTAATATGTTCAATAAAATGATGTTACTTCAATTTTATTGTTATTTGCATATTATTTTATTTTTGAAGTTTCATTATATTTATTAATTTCAATGTCCAAAAGAATTTTAACAGAAAATCCTTTCTAGCTCATGTACATACTTAAATAAAAGAGACATAGCCAAAAACACACAATTCAGGGTTGCGAATATTTTGTTTAATAGATAAACGATCGAAATAATCCCAATATTCCTTTAACTTTTAGCGTCTCAATAATATTTACAATAAGCTTTTAAATATCATTGCTTAAAAACAAGTATTTGAAGTACTTACTTTTGTTTTGATGGTACTGTTATTTTATATAAGAAACTTTACAAATTCTACGAAGAAATTTCTTATCTTATGGAATCCCTTCAATGTACATATTGTTATTATAAATATTTTATGTTTAAAGTTAACAACCGTTTTATCATCAAAACAATAATAATTGAATGTGTGATATTACTAATATGTACACACATATTATATTGTGTATCTTTGAGTACATATATTATGTATTAAAAAAAATGAAACTTTTAAAATAACAATATTCTTTAAAAAATATTTACTTTTGAATTATTTATAACTTTTAGTTAAAATCTTGTATGTCAGAATAACCATAAAAAAATATGAGATTGTATAAAGTAATATTCGTATATTTACGTGTAACTGATATATTTGTATATAATTGAATGTTACTGAACGTTTAACAATTTCTCTTTCTAGTACTTTTTACTAAAATAAAACTTTCACCTCACACAAGTCGCAACACCAATAGTATTTTATCATAGAAATTATACATGCATTGCATTATCCCAACACACACACAACAAGCTAAATATTGCATATTAATATC